CGCGACGACTCAAATTGCGCACGAGAGTACTATCCTTGAGGTAAACGGCTTCGAGACCCAGTGCTGTCCAGCGTGGTTTAGATGCGGTGACACGAACAGTTGATAGCCTAGGGAACAAGGACTCCGCAACTGGGGTCGGAATGTCATCGTAGAAGCGCTGATTCTGCGCGAAAGGCATGGAATATACCCTAGTGTACCCGGGCGTCAAGCTTTTCTCCGGCTCCGATAGTGGCCACCAGGACAATTGGCTACCTGCGACGTGCTCCACCCCTCTCTTGCAGAAGTCCCAGGTAGCCGGCCAACATCCTCGAGTAAGTGATACATCGTACTCAAGAACGGTTTCCGCGGGTTCTGTCTGTTGCTTCTCTGGGTTGCAACCTGGGTTTTCGAGAAGCTGGCGATCAACTGGCTCTAGATCAGGCTGTACAAAGCAACGAAGGCTATCCTTGTACAGAACGAAAGCTTGCCCAGCGCACAGGAACTCCTGCGCTGCCTCCAATTTTGACAAGATGGTTTCGTACTTCTCTTCAGTCTCCAGGTCGTCGGCATCTTCAGGGATATCTTCGCCTTCCGAGTATGTCGCTTCGTCACTTTCTTCCATCGTTGACAAACTGACATCTGGAGCCGGAGGTTGTGGGCTTGACCTCCCTCCATGGGCTAACTCATCTGGTGCATCTATATCCTCAAGGAAACGGTTGATAGAGAAGAGCTGGTCCTTTTCTTGGCTGACCAAGCGGTTGACTTTCTCTCGAGTTGTACTACCAGTGGGCTCGATGATACTAAATATCGCCGAGGAAAGCTGAGTCCTGGTATGCCACCGTCGAAGAAAGCTGATTGCTAAATCTTGGGACGGACTGATTTCTCTCTGAGAACCAAGATCTGAGACAAACCGCAACAGCAGTTTGCGATGATTCCTTTTGAACCTCTCTTGGTCCATCTTGCGAAAAGCTTGTTCATACAGAGATAAAAGGTCCTCGTCTTCGGTGAATATCTTCACAAGATAGCGTACAGCAGCTTGTCGCTGTGTCGCTGGTCTGGAGTCCATCGTGGATGCAGTGTCGCCATCTATGGATGCCAGCGATTGGATATCGTCCTGGGTTAACTCATTGCCCCCCGCAGTTCCTCTGTGATTGATGAACGTGAAGGATGATGACAAAATGTCTCCATGACCGTTGTTGATGACAGCGCCGCTAGATATGGAAGATGGTTTTGTGGAAGTTTGTCGGCCTGACCAGATAGATTTGGAAGGTTCGGAAAGAAAGCTGTCTACTGAGATGGTTTGGGCGTTGCCGTACTTGACACTCCGCGCGTTGGCGTCGGCTCCCTTGGCCAGCAGTAGTTGCACAATCTCCACGTGGCCTCCCGACGAGGCAGCCTGGAGAACGTTGTCGTACTGGCCACCCCGCGCGTTGACGTCGGCTCCTTTGGCCAGCAGCAGTTGTACAATGTTCGTGTGGCCTTCTGATGAGGCAGCCTGGAGAGCGTTGCCGTACTCGCCACCCTGTGCGTTGACGTCAGCTCCTTTGGCCAGCGGCCTTGTGCAGTCCGACCAAGCCCAGTCACACATGCATAGTATAATTTTGATCCATGTGGAGGACCCGGGTCATTCTTCCATGGTACATCAGGCTGGTATAACCGACCCCATAGCTGGAAGGTTCTGTCGTCTTGCAAAAAGCTGACGGTCGCTCAGGTAATGTCTTCTGATCCCTCAGCCGAAGTCGCAAACCCTGTCCACACTTCTGCGGCAAATTTTGCCATCGGGAAATCTCTTGTGGTCTCCTTGTAGGTTCCCTGATATCTGTAAGATACGTCAAGCATGTCCTCGTGATGGCGATGCTGGCATCTTGGCGCCCGAACTGCTCTTCCCTGACAAGATACTCTTTGATTGAGTAGTGGGTAAGGTGAAGTTCTTTCGTCGTGCTGTTGCCTTTTGTGGCTTGTGCGATTTCCACCAAGCCGGGGCAAATACGAAGAATATCGGCTTCACGGTTTAGCCTGCCCCTAACGTCGAACCCTCGGGGTTCCCCATCTATGTGCGTCGCTACTACCTCAATAGCCTCCGATACCGTCAGTGGCCTCTTAGCGTGGACGATAAACTGCAACAGGCGAATAGCATCTGACTTATGCTGTGGAGGTATGCTCTGAAGCATACGGTCGTATGTTTCACTCAGATCATGGGGCAAAGACTTGAGAGCTGCCTTAATGGCGTTGGGGCTCAGACACTTTGCAAGACTGTCCAGTTGGCAAGCCGCCCACCGGAACCTGTGCTGCGTGTGAGGAATGTGTCTGGGGTTAAGGCGCTTAGGTTAACACTCACATACCGTCGGCGCCGTTTCCGACTTTATTGCGAATCTCGTTAAGGAGGTCCTGGGGCAACTTCTTATCAACAAAGTCGGAAGACTGCGTAAGCCTCGCTACGACGTAGGACCGTATATCAGCGTCGACGGCCTTCTTGTCGAGTGAGACACAGTTTTCCTGACCCCAATAGTCAGGTATTTCCTGTTGAAACTCTGCTTCTGGTCGCCCGGTCGCAATCAATTGGACATTGCCAAATGCCGAGTCAGAGACGACGCTTCGCATCCAAGACAGGAGTTGGCCTTTCGTTGTGCATTCATCCAGTGCGTCAAGGACCACGGTAACATTGCCAGAAACTTTTATCATCGACTCAACACAGGCTGACAATCCGCTCATGTCTGGTTGCCTGCGGTCGTCACCATGGGATGCAAGAAGGCTGTCGAGTTTCCGTGCTGCTTCTCCCCCGGTATGATAAAGCTGAATCGCTAGCGACCGAAGTAGACCATTTAGGGTCTGCTTCTTAGTGTCGTTAAAGTCGAAGAAGAATGCAAGCGTGACGTGGCGACCCGTTTGCGAAAGGTGGTCAAGGATCGTAGTACTCAAGACTGTCTTGCCGCATCCTGCAAGACCGTAAAGCCATAGATGTCGACGTCTGCCAGCCTTCCACTCCTGGGATACGGGGCTTTCGAGAAACCAAGCTCCAGTGCCGGCGTGCCGGCGTTCTCTTGCCAGCTTGGCGTTGGTTGAGTAGTCTGGCGGAGACAACCAGTGCTGGAGTTCGGTGAGGTGGTCGTCAGACTTCATGGTAATTCTCGCATCCTTGATTTCTATTTCAGTGAAATCCCCGCCGTCTAGTTTTCCTTGGACTATAAGATGTTAGAGAGGAAGGCTTGCTTGCCATGGAACTGTAGTACTAACCCAGTCCTAGAATCTCGCTGATGGGTATCTCAGTCTCGACCTTGTTCGGCGGGATCTGTCGCAATATGTCCTTCGCATACGCTGCTGCCGTCATGGCCGCGAAGCCCTGCCACTCCTTGTTCTTATGCGAGTCGGCATAGTCACAGATCCCACGGACTACCAGGCATGGGAAGTGGTTCATCAGGCCGGCGGCCTCTATCTCGAAGCAGAGCACGTCCTTTTCGGCCGCCAGCTTATCCCGGGTGGTAGCATCCTTCATCAGCTGGTTTGCGCTGGCAATCAGTCCGTAGTGGATTTTGGGGTCGTCTTCTTCGTCACGCTGAGACCTGGTTACAAGGTGGGATGGGTCTTCGCTGGACACATCGCTGCAGCATCCAGTCCCATCCAAGCGATGTGCAATGCCCGCCTTGTACAGCCTGTCGCTTGCTGTGGGAGGGCGTATATACCTTTTCCGGTTCTTGATACGCTTCAGTGCCCGGTCCACCTCCTTGTTTAGTTGGTGGCCTCTCAGCTCGTATTTGCCCTTCAGTGCGCTGATAGCCGTCCGGAGCACCGGTGGCGATTGATTCAGGAAACCGATATGCTGGAACGTTTGATCTGAATAGTCTTACCAAAGTCGTACTGGAGCACACCACCCTTGCCGCCGCCAGCACGACTGACAACAACGTCGCCAAGTCGTACATCGTGCTCCGGAAGTCTGGGGGCGCCGCCTCCAATGCCGACCATCAATCCGATACGCACGTTCGGAAAGCTGTGCAGCATGTCTCGGGCTACTGTCGCCGCCGAGGTCGTGCCGTACTCTGTATCAGGCAGGACGGCAATAACGACGTTATGACTGCCGACGGTGCCCAGAACGTAGCTGTTGTTGTCGTGCGGGGCCACATGGCGAGGGGGGTCGTGTTCTTCGTCGAGGAAGGCCTGGGCGGCGACAAACTCGGTGGCGATGGCGCAGATCCAGCCGACTGTGTACTTCTGGGGATCCGACATTGGAGGCTGTTGACGATGAGAGTTCGGACATGCGCAAGTTGTCGATGACGAGAGGTATGCGACGGTCAAGGAATCGAGTCTGGCATGAAGTCGGACAACATGGCAGAGACCGGTTGCATCTGCCTGGCGGGCACAAGATCAGGCTGGTGCTGGTTCCATAAGGATAGGACCAGAGAGGCCACAGCCACGGGCGCTTGCATGCAGCACCTTGCAGCAGGCTGGGGGAAGGTTTACCAAGGCAGCTTGGCTCTGCGAAGGAACTTGGTCGGACCTTGCCGGCCTAAGAGTTGAGGAACAGACCGGGCATGGTAGGATTGGTTGGCTGTGGCGGTCAGTGCTCTGTAACACCGCTCTACCCGGTGTAGTGCATCGCCAACCATCACACAGCCAGGGCAATGGGCCTCGACATCGCACTTGGCCTCTCGAAAGCCAGTGTTGCGAGAGAGTAAAGACCCCAAGCTGAACAAGTCACTAAGGTGGCAGACGCCCCCAAGACGGAGCGTAAACGGAACAGCAGCGCTGATATAAACCATTCCCCCCTTCACCCACGGCATGAGGCGGCAGTCAAACACTTGAGGCGTACGGAAAGGAGAGATGGAAGGGTCGTCCGACTAGGCAGCCAGTCTGATGAGTAAGACACAGCGCTTCCATCGGCGCCGGCCGTGCTCTCCTTCTTTAATCTTGCATTGGGAATGGCGATCCCTCAAGCGCCGAGCTCCACGGGTTGTTGCTTCCGATTTTGGCGCCAGTCACTGGCTGCCAGGTGCTGACACCAATCCCAGGGTGGCTGGTTCTTGCCCCCGTTCGCCCAGGACCCTCCTTACTGTGAATGAAACTCTCGTGACTTCCTAGGAAGTCACCTGCTTCAGGTGTACAAGCCCCCAGAGCTCCCATGAACACTCACTCACGGATCCTCACCACCAAAGCCGTTTCCCTGGCTTGCCCGCTTCGTCCTGCGATTAGGCGTTAGTATTACCAGCCGCTGGAGGAGGCCTTGCGCGAACGGTGTGACCGAGCAAAATGGCAAGCCAGACGTGCATGCAATTCACGGCCACTGCACCGAATGCGCACTGGTTCTCCAGCATTACCCATACCGCTCCATGAGATAGTGACAGCTGGCCTTGAGCAGCGGAGGCGTCCTGGCGATCTGATCCCGCCAGCGTAGGTGAGATACACATCTGCTGCGCCGGACAACGCGCGAATGGCCAAAACTGGCAGGGACGAATATGGCCGTCGCCTGCTTTTGGCTCCGCACCAAGCATATATAAACCTGACGTCGGCTCTACTGGGTTCATTGGTGGGGCAGACAGGCTACATCAACATGGCTTTCAACGTGCTCTTGACGATTCTTCTCCTTGCCTTGCCTCTATCCAGTGCCCACTCGTGGGTCGAGCGCCTTAGACGGCTCGACCTGAACGGCACCATGGTCAGTGATCCTGGATACATTCGGGGGTTTGTGTCTAGGCTTGATCCCACATTCAACGACCTCCGGATGCAACATCATCTTCCACCGAACGGTAGAGTGGCAGAGCAAGGCATCCTCCCGACCGATCGTATCTGCAGGGACTCGCAGCGAGCAATGCAATCGAACGAAATGCTTCCCCGACTGCAGGCGCGGCCGGGAGACATCATCGCTCTTCAGCACCAGGAGAACGGGCATGTGACCCTCCCAGAAACAAGTCCGCACAAGGAGCACGGCGGTACGATCTTCATCTACGGCACCCGGGTTCCCTCCGAGGACGATATATTGCTTTCCATCCATCGTGTCTGGAACGCAGAGGGCACCGGGGGCGACCGGCGGGGTTCCCTCTTAGCTGTTAGGTCCTTCGACGACGGCCAATGCTATCAGATCAACAACGGGCAAATATCGATCGATCGCCAGGACGCATTCAGAAAAGACCCCGCGGATCCTCAAGGCGCCGACCTGTGGTGCCAATCCGACATCCGGCTTCCCAACAAATGTGGTGTGTACACTCTCTACTGGGTCTGGGAATGGCCTTTCAAACCTGGTGGCATCGAGCGGCCCGCCGACATCTACACGAGCTGTATGGACGTTGAAATTCTTCCGGGCATTCAACAGGGAAAGGTCTCTTACGTCGATGGGCAGGATTTGAACTGGGCCGGGGTTAAGGAGCAGATGCTAGCTGGCTAGCTAGGTGGTGGATGAGGGTGTCAGCAGTTGTATTGGTTATTCTACTATTGAAAGCAGGCTTTCTTCCCTTCCAGCCTCACAGGATTTCTTGTGCCGGGAAAACACTCGTCTCCGTGTTCAAGCACACAAAGTCATCTGGAAGGGTAGGACAGACCGCCGGCTTAATACCACGACCGTCCTTGTCGAAAAGGAACCATTCCCGTCCTTCATTTTCTCTTTCCACCTGGGCTATCCCCTCAACGATAGACCGCCGGCGGCATGGCTTCGCATCCACCCAATCTCCGTTCCGTCGGATGAGAATCGTCATCTCTCGGTCATCGAGCCGCAGAACGGCTTGACTTGCTACTTGCGCCTCCCGACTGAGACCTAGAGAGCCAGGAATGAACGTGGTGAGTGCCGAGCTCCGGTCCCCGAGACCTGTCTCTTGAGGTGCAGGCTTGCTGACTTGTAGGCTCCGCTGTAGCGCAGTGACTGTTGAGCTTCCACCGTCAGGGCCTCTCTTTTGTATTTTTCCCTTGGTGGCTCCTACGTTTTGCTGTTGCCTTTTGCGTGCCATGCGTGGTCGATTGCGTTTCTGAAGCTGGGAGAGAGCGGGCGCATCTTCCATCTCGTTATCCTCGACAGGAGCTTCAGCGGAAGATCCGTTTGGTTGGTTTGGTTCTTCAGCATCCGATTCGACTTCCGACAACTCCGACATGGATGTGTCCGACATGGATGCGTTCACGCTGTCCTCTTGATGGATGCCGTGTGGACCCCAAAAGGTATGGAAAACAGATCGCCTGACGAACAGAGACGTAATCTCGGGACCCTTTTCTATTGGGCAGGTGAACCAGTGGACCGTGAGACACTGGCGATTCTGAGCGTAAGATCCGGAGTACTGGCGACCGTACCTCCTCGCGAGGGGCTCACCCAGGGATGACGTGGTGAGGGCGGGTTGAACGCCCTGTAACTGTATTGGCTGTGCCTCCTTGAACACACCCGCCACTATATTTGCGAGCTTCTCAAAGTTTGATCCGTAGGCGAAGCATAACGCCGGACGAGCGATCAGCATGATTCGTTTCGCTGCCTCTATGTCCGGATCTAATTGACAGTGTCGCGTGATCTCGCCCGAGGCAAAGCCTAGGTCCCGAGCTCGTATCGCGAGCCGATGCCAGGCTGTTTGGTCATATTGGCGTGCCTCCTGCTTTGCTTCGTCGTCTTCTAAGAGGGTGTTCTCTCCCGAGAGTTCAACAAGGTTTTGCATGATATGCAGGTAGAGGCATTTCATACTTCCAAGCAATTCTGCTTCGTGGCTATGCCCAGATGGCTTCTCGCTTTGGAACGCGTGAAAAGCGATAGCCTGAACGGTCATTGGAAACCGAGACGAGCCCAAGATAAGCTTTCTCATGACGCTTGTGCACTGGCGCACATATTTGAAGTCCTTCTGCAAGGTATACATGGAAGGGATTAACGTATCGACCTGCTGGAGATTGCTCAACACCTGCTGTCGTCTTTCATCATCGGTCAGGCGCCGGAGAGCCACATTCCTCCGGATAGCCTCGGAAACGTGGAAGTAGTCGCGCTGTGATGCTCCTGGTGCACGGCTCTCGAACTCCCGGACTGTGTCGCCATCCACGAATTCCAGAGCTGCCCCGGACCCCAGAATGCGTTTCCACACCTCGTACACGTGTTGGAGGCCGTGCAGGACTTCCTAAGAACCCGTGTCAGTAAATTGGCTTTCAATAGACAATGGTTAACACATGTCTTGAAGTCGTACCTCTTCGTACTTGTCCGCTAGCACCTTGCTCCAAACCCCAAGCTGAAGTCCTCGACGCAAACCTGGAATCTGCATCGTCCTCCTGAGAGCCGGTGATAGCGTGGGATGCTTGAGTAACCTTCTTAGGATTTCGTTCTTATGTGTGGTAAGCCTCGACCGCCATCTATTGGCATCCAGCGAGTTCGTCGGGTAGCTGCAGATCTCTGCAAATATATATCCGTCAGAAAAATTTGCTTCGTTGCCGAACTCCTCAGCTAGTGACCGCTTCGCATCATCAGAGAGGTCTTTGAGGTCAGCGCTATTCTTGTGGCTTAAGCAGTGGCGGACATACCGACATAGAGCTCGACCGTCCACCATTTCTCATGTTTCGTTTTACGGAGTGCCGCCACCCGGTGTTTCCCATGGAGGCACTCTACGTGACAGCCGGGTGGGAAGCGGAGATGTCGTCGTTCGGTACTCCGTAGATCATGTAGGGTGATGCCAGAATAGCGTAGTGATGCCTGCAGCACTTCTTCTTGTACGTTCCCCGGAATGAAATGGCGTGGGTTCATGCGGTCGCAGCCTTCTGAATTGAAGATTTTGGCAAGACGGCCCACGTTTTTCGGGTCAGGACATGTTTTAGGATCAACCAATAGAGAATCCAAGGAGACCATGACTGTCCCCTTCAGTTTTGAGGATACCTCGGCGCTCAGCCTCTTTGATCGTGCGTCAACACTTTCGAAGGCCATTGTGTAAGTATGATTGCTCCGCATATCCGGAGCCTTACGGCGCGACAACTTTATACGACCTTGGTGGCTAGGAACTGCACCGGCCAGAATCCGCGCCAACAAGAGACGATTTCGTATTATCCTTGGTGGCTAGAGACTGCGCTGGACAGGATTCGTGCCAGCAAGGGACGATTTCAGACGTCGTCCTTGGTGGCCTGAAGTTGCGCTGGCCGGAAGCTGCGCCGGCCGGAAAACATGGCGGCGAGACCTGGCGCCGGCAAGGGACGATTTTGGACATCATCCTTGGTAGCCTGAAGTTGCGTTGGCTGGAAGTTGCGCTAGCTGTAAATCGTGTCGGCGAGGGATCGTGCCGGCACGGGACGATTTCGGACAGAATCCTTGGCGGCTGGAAGCTGCGCTGGCCGGAAACCGTGGTGGCGAGGATTCGCGCCGGCAAAAAACTATTTCCGGAATCCTTGGCGGCCGTAAACCGTGGTGGCTGGAAACCGTGTCGGCGAGGGATCCTGCCAACAAGGGACGATTTCGGACGGAATCCTTGGCGGCCGGAAACCGTGATGGCTAGGATTCGCGCCAGCATAGTATTATTAGACGTTGTCTTTTCGGACGTCGTCCTTGGTGGCCGGAAGCTGCGCTGGCTGGAAAACGTGGTGGCTAGGTACCGTGCTGGCGAGGACTCGTGGCCCACCAAGGGACAATTTGGACCATCGGACCTGGCGGCCGGACAATGCGCTGGCTAGAAATCGTGCTGGCGCGTTTCATACCGGCGAGGGGCCGCGACAGCAAGGTCAGGATCTTTTTTCGCATCTTTGACGGCCGGAACCCAGAGATTGCGAGGCAGAAGCGAACCGCGGGTTAAGTAGGTAGGAACGATCATACTAGGGGTAGAATGCCTCGCATACACATGCGGCATTAGACGAGGTACATCATTTGAACAGGAGTCACTACGGGTGGCGTGATCAAATCGCATAGTTTTTGTGAAAGCTCTCTGAAACCAACCCATGATAATGAGCATCGGCATTGACACGTTTCAGCCGATACCTTACCCGTCCTCATCACTATTATCTCGTAGCAGCCCGCCTCTTGCGTCTTGGCCGCAGACTTAGAGGGACCGGTAATGAACGTGGTGGCCTCCAGTCCTTTGAACCTACTCCAGCAGCTCTTGCGTTTCTTGTCCGCACAGGTCGCTGGCGCTTTGGACGTTCCATACTTCGCCCGGGTGGACTACACAGAGCTTTATGCGTCATTTCTGTTTGGGGGTGAAGTTCTGGCTGCCTCGACCGGCTCGAATTGCCCTGGGTTGGATGTACATCCCATTCATCAGGCATGGACTTCTCCCATTGTCGATACTCCGGCCATTCGAAGCCCCAAAATGCGTTGAAGATACAACGCCGCACGAATAAAGAGGGTGACGTCGAAATTCTTTTCCGTTTTGCATGTGAACCATTGTGGAGTCAGGAAAGGACGGTCGCGGGCGTAAGCCTTGGAGTACTGGCGACCACACCGTCTGGCGACAGGCTCTCCCAACTGTTTGATTGTGAACGTTGGATTGCTGACCTCCTTCTGTACAAGTCGTGCTTCATCGAACACCTGGACGACGAGATCCACGAGATCGTTGAAATTCTGCCCATATTCGAAATACTGTGGCGGCCGAGCAGTCAGCAAGAACTTGGTAGCCGCCTCTCGATCCGGATTTACAGAGCAGAGCCGCGAAATCTCATCGGAACAAAACCCTAACTCTCGGGCTCGGAGAGCAAGCTGATGCCAGGCTCCTTCGTCGTACTGGCGAGCCTCTGGCTTCTCTTCGCCGTCCTCCATCAAGGGGTTTTCTTCTGAGAGCTCAACGATGCTCTGCATGATGTGAAGAGACAAGATTTAATAGCTGTTGAGGAATTCCGAATCGAAATCGGAGAAGAGTGGGTCCTCGAGCGATGTAAACGCATTCCTGGCCATGGTTCTGGTCGTAATCAGAGAACCGTGCTTGCCGGAAATCAACGCTCTCATAACGCCGGACCATTGCTTCAGATAATAGTAATCTCTCCGAAGAGTGTAAAGCGATGGAATCAAGTAGTTTGTACTTCCAAGTTGACACTACTTGTACTCTCGCAGGCTCGTCTGCCAAGCCCTTGAGTACCATATTGCTTTGCACAGCCAGCGAGACATGAGCACCGTCGCAGCGCGACAGTCCAGGGGCGCGGAGTTCAAACTCCTTCACTGCTCTGTCGTCCACGAATTTCAGGGAATCCTCGGATCCCATGATACGAACGAACGTAATGTATATGTGCATCAGGTAGTGCATCACTTCCTAAGACATAAGTTAGTAACCGTTTGGCGGAGGTTGAACGCATGTTCGGAGCCGCACCTCGTCATCCCTTGCAATGAGGATCTTGCGCCAAATGCCTAGTTTGAAGCCTTGACGTTGTCCTGGGATATTCAAAACTTTCAGGAGCACCTTTCCCAGCGTCTCGTGCTTGCGGAGTCGTTTAGCGATACTGGCTTTGCCTCCATCGAGTCTGCTCAGCCATCGCTTCGCATTCAGCGAGTCACCTGGGTGGCTGAGGATATTCCAAAGTATGAACCCCTCAGGAAGGCTGTTTTCTTTCACAGAGCTGTCAGGGATGCAAGAATTTATCTCCGCGGAAGGATCTTCACAATCAGCTTCGGACTGGTTGATGGGACATTGGCAAACCTACCGAACAGAAGGTCCTCAAACTTTCCTAAAGCTATCGAACGAGACTGGCTGTCGAGATAGTCGGCCCGGATGCCGGACGGCAGGGGTAGAGCAGTATTGACGTTTGAGTCGAAGGGCTCCAACCCGTCAGACGTTGCGCCCGCAATGAGGTGGGAGGGAACAAGGTGACGGCATTCTTCCATTTTGAATGTTCAGCAAGAATTGTTAAAGGCTTGAGAGTAGGTAGTAGAGGGTAAAGGGTGATTGAGGGATACTAGAGACCCCGACGTCTGTTATTTAAGCCGAGGGGGTGTGGCGACTCTTGTCCCACATGACGATGGCTGGCCATGCTGATGGACATGCCTGGCCTCAGGTGTCCTCCCAGCCAGAAATGGGCATTCTCTGACCCCCAAGGTAATCTTGCGGATGCCTGTCAAAAAAAAAGGATTCGCCAGCATTTCCAGAGGAAATTGTGTGCAGACAACAGCTACAGCCAGTATTACATTCGACCCTAGAGCGTCATACTCGATTTATCGATTTTTTTGAAGAGGAACGCCCACATGCTCCCGAAGCCCCCCCTCCACAGCATTTTGTGAAGGCCAACCCGCGCCCCTCCAGTACCGTTTCCCGCCAAGCGAGCCCGAGAGGGGATCAGGAAGGGAATCTCAGACTGGTTCAAGGCTGTAGAAATCGTATCCAAGGTAGATGGGAGAGGACAGAAACGATTTGTTCCTTCGACCTGTCCAAATGTGTCGCTGCCAAAAATAGATTGGGTATGGCATCTGGCAGATGAAGGTATACGTATTTGGACTTGAGGTAGATAAAATTGGCCACAATAGAATCAAACGAACGCGTCCTTCGGCCCCAAGCCTCCTGGGGCAGTTCTAGATGAATGCTTCGCCGTCATTTGGTTGATTCTATCTGTGTTGATTCGAGCTCTCCGTCCTACCTAAATAGAACTCGGCGCGGGCATCGTTCGGCTCGGTTGTAGCCGAAGCTAGCCCCCAATTCCCCATAAGTGACCCGCCCCGTCAGACTGCAGTGACCAGTGTTCACAGGCCGGCCAGGCTCTCCAATTGCTACCTGTCTAGATCCACAGTATTGTTGCCGGGCACAATACTCAAACTGCAGCGGTTAACGCCTATGCTGCGTGGTCGCTTATTTTCCCCGAGACGTGCTTCGGAGAAGAACGCCAGGGCGATCGCATGAACACCGTCACCAGGAGCTGGACCGGTTGTACCACTCCCCTGTGGTACTCCATCGATCGCGACGCACGATGGCAATTAGCCAGCAATCGGCCCAGTGATAATGGCCGATTTTGACTATGCCGGCGAACGCTCTTGGCATAAAGTGGCCAAAACCAGCCGAGAGATGGTGGAACTGACCACCACTGTCTGGTCCCCAAGGTAGGGTGCGAGGACGCGTATAAATCAAGACTCGCAAGCATGTTGAAGACTATGACACGCAGACAGCAACCATTGCCATCATTTGAGTCACCATGTCAGACGCAAAGCGCCATACTCGTTTTATCGAAGAGGACCTTGTGGAGGCTCGTCCCAAAGGCCCTCCTCCAAGTCCTCTTCAGAGCACTTCGCAAAAGTTATCCGGCGTCGAAGAACAGTCGGCATCGCCCCCAAGCCGTTTCCCTGCTAAGCGAACCCAAAAGAGGACAGGGGGGGGGCTTGTGCCAGTACTCGCTGGGTCGCCTTGGAAGCACTATGAAAATAGGCACCGCCTAAAGTTCGGCCATTCCTTTGCCGTTGTCACTTCGACCATAACACGACGGCCCCGTATGATCCGTTCGATCACGGGGCCTAGCAGCGACGAACAGATACATCGCCTCCGCCACCTGTTCCATCCGAACATTGTCGAAAGCCTGAAGCTCTACACCTGCCCACAGGAGGGTTACTTCCTCGTTTCCGAGTTTCTGCCAACCACCCTCGAGCATCTCTACCAAGCGCCGATCTACCCCACCGAGCCAGAGCTCGGTTCCATCTTACACCAGGTACGCACTCCCCCGGCGATATTTAGTAAAGTAAGCCTCTACTCACAATATCTTAGGTCCTTACCGGTATCAACTTTCTGCTTACTAGCGGTCTAGTCTATGAGCAGGTGTCGGCTGCCAACTTGCTGGTGAGCTACGACGGGAAGATTAAGATCTGTGACGTAGAGCGTTGCACCCCGGACGGCGATATATCGAAGCTTCTAGATTCGTTTATTAGATTGATGATGAAGCTTATGGATAAGGAGAAAAGGGGGGACGGGGTGGCTGGCCTAACTCGTCCTGATCGTTGGTCTCACGAGGCAATTGACATGTTCACTGAAGCCGTCTCAAAGCCTTCTGTCAAACACCTGCTTGAACATCCATTCCTACACAAGAGAGAGGAGAAAGACTTAGAATGGCTTGTCTACTTTGTCCTTATCAGAGCGCGACACCCTCCTGATTAGAAATTCGGGGAACGAGGATTATGGATCAGATCTCTCAAGAGTTTAACAAGCACGCATCTCCATCGTAGCCATCTTCAGTCTCGCTACTGTGCATGTAACGATTCCAATTGCCATGACGGCGCGCACTTCCGGCACGGCATCAACTCTGTGACGACCCCCGTCCACTAGCCTTCGCATCGTGTGCACCTCCCTTGCTGCTTTGCAAACCCGAGAGTGCGAAGCTTTGTAGCCAGGCCACTGCCGCAGCAAAGCCCACTATCACGCATGGTATAGATAACGACTCACGCCAGACCGGCAACTAGGTTGCTTTAAATAGATGACCAGTTCAGCCTGGTATAAAGGGGTCCGTCCCCAGCACCCCTCCATTCCGCCTCTTCAACTTTTCACCACCCCCCCCCCTCCTCTTCAAAGCCGTAACACTGCTGTCGCCATGGACCGCCCCAAGAAAATGTCTGGAAGAGGACCGGCCCCGAAAAACTACATGACACTTCAGGAAGGCGTCGAAATCCCCTCCTCAATTGTGAACGACAAACCGGTCAACAAGAACGTCGAAAACATCACAGAAAAGAACTACGAACGCCAACTGCGAAACTGGGACGACTTGTGAGTGTTCGAATCGATCTCCGCAGTGATTGTCTCACCAGACCAGCGTCGAAGCGTTTGGCCCGCGGAGTGTGGACTCTCTTGAGGATCTTAAGGAGTACGTTCTGCGTTTAGGTCTGGCAATGAGAGCTGGTCTGCGACCAGAGCAAAAGCTTGCCGCGAAGGGCATCAAATCGTACTGGAAAAAGTTCACTGCAGGCTACAACCGCGAACGGGGCACCATACCGAAAGATCATGTCTTATCCGTCACCCGTGTACGTAAACGGTCGGGTCGTTGCTGAAAGATGAATGGCTGACGTTGGCAGCTTATCGAACCGCGGGGCGCCTTAGGCAAACTCCTCAACCTCGTGGCAGACACAGGACCCAGGCGCCATGCCACTGCAGAGGTGTTGACCTGGGCAGGAGAGTTTTCTTGGACTCTCGACTGGAAAATCTTCGCTCAGCCTAGACTACGTATAGACCATTGGACGGTTCTCCAGGCCGCTGCATTCACCGCCGCCCGGGTCTCCGATTACATTGAGTCCTCTGCTCGATACCAGAGCAATGTAGGACTCCACTACAAGGTAGCGTTTGTGGCCCGACATTGCTTCAAGCCCTGACCTGTGTCATAGGATACAACTCTTATTGTGTTCCGAAACGAGAGCGGGGAGACTGAGTTCGGCCTGCAATTGACGAAGTGGCTGAAAGGCAGACGCCATGAACCCAGCACCTTGTGAGAGAAGCACCTGGAATGATGACATGACGAAGTTCGGACATCTAACCAGAACAGGCCAACCCCAGATATTCACGAGCGTGGCAACTTGGAGGCCCAGCTGCTCTACATGAACCCCATTTTGTTTCTTCTGTCTATTTTCTGCTCCGCAGGAGCCTTGAGAGACTACATGGGGCTGGATGGACTAACTAGGCTTCTAGATCTGGAAGTTGGCCCTGGTGAACCAGCCGTGCATATTCGGTGGCACACAAACGTTCTCCACTCGCCGATTTTCTCAGGCCCCAGCGAAAGGATCATGACTGCGAATCTTTTCTCCTCCGTATTGCGTTCCCTATTTATGAGAGCGGGCTTTCCGGACCCTCCAGGACTTCACTGCTTCCGGGCAGAGGGCCTCACCAATATTGTTTGTGACATGCCCTGGACATTCGCTGGTGCTGGACTTACGAGTGTAGATGCGAATCCCACCTACTCGGACATCCAAAGACAAACGACGGCCGGCCATGTGACCAACTCCATTCAAGCGCGGTACTACTCAAGCCGGAACCCCGGCATCGACAGCCAGGCGGCGTTTATGCGCACGCAGGCTCGGCTGATGAATATAGGGGAGCACTTTCGAAACCTCGAGATTTCATGGGAACCAGAACTGTTGCACTCCCTTCCTATCAAGAGGAGAGAAAAGCTGGCAATGACGGAGGAATATCAAGATATCGAGGCCAAAATCCGAGGATCTCCAACGAGTAAGCCCAAGCGGCTCATGGACATATCGCCAACAGAGCCGACAGAATTGGAGGTCAAGGCTGACATCAAGACTTCGCCACCGGTCGAGACGAAAGATTCGCCTCTCGCCCATCCCATTCGAAAGCTCAGGCGTGATCTTGAAAATCTCGAGAGAAGAGAGTTGAGCGAGTTATGGGAGGAGACTTCCAAGAGTACAGTGGTCGGCAACAAACGCGCGTTTGTCTGTAGAGGGGTCAACCGTCCCTTCACGCGACTCCGGTCGATCATGCCCCTCCGTGGACAATTGGCGGATCTCCTGATGATCAAGGCACGCCTCAGAAGCCCTGAAGGAAGGGCATCCCTTGAGGCATTGGTCAAACTTTACCAGAGCAAGTCAGAAGTGGACCGACCTGGGTTAGGAACAACCTGCCACTGCCGCAGGTTAACTTCGTGAGTACATCCTGCAACCTCGTGGATGGGCAACCCTAACTAGACAGTGACCATCTGCACGTCTATCAATGCACCAAGAAGCATGTCGCGCGCGCAGAGTTTTGTTTCTTTTGCAACCAGTGGCTGTATGAACCTGAGGCTTGGGAACAACACTGCCACAAACACCTGACGCAGGACCACATCCCAATGGAGCTGTCCTGGGAACGGGTTGAGACGACTTTTTTACCAGGTTACTGCCCTTTCTGCCTATGGGATGCAAGACTCGGATGCTCCAAACGGCTACAATCGTTCTGTACCCTGCCCGATTGGGAGACGCACATCAGAGGGCACGGCGTCTCATGGCAGGCGCGATGCCCGGACCTGCGCTGTGCGGAGACGTTCCCCGACGGTGACTCCTTCCAGAATCATCTGCATGACCTGCATCATGTACCGAAAAGGCTCTTTAAGCCAGCCGAGACAGGCTTCAAGACGGGCTTCAAGAGGGGGGTTGACGATGTCACCCATCAGGGAGTCCCAGCCAAGAAGACAAAGATAGGAGATGCATCAGTCGAAGCGCATTTTGTCTTTCAGTATTGTAGCGTAGAGGAGACGAAACCGGACAACAGCGGGCTGGAATGAATTTTCGGAGCAAACAGGACATTCTCTATTCTGGGAACGGATGGTTCTGACCACCAAGGAGGACGGACTCAGCCACGGCCGCCCGCTGAGTTGTAGTGTTACCCTTAGATAAAGGAAGTACAGAGAAGATGAACGATCCGCTCAAGCAAACCACTCCGTCAAGATGCCCTCCTGGCTGCCCATTCTTTCCATGTCCACTCCAAAGAAGCAGTGCAACGTGGAACGGGCGGAGTGGCGCACCAAATGCCGAGAAATGTTGGCACAGCATCTCGCGACACGACTGGGCATCATTCTGGATCCGTCGCACGTGAGATTGCAGACATCCCGCGAAGATGCCTACGCTTGGCAGGTTCTCCCCGAGAAGCAGTACTTGTCTGAGAAGAATCTCAGCAACCACTCTATCCGCGCCTACAAAGAACTTTGCGACAGTGTCGGGGTCAGTTTCGAAGCTGTGCTGAAGACCAAAGCACCGGCTTACCCTGGCCAGCAGATAATTGTAGGTCAAGCGTTGAGATGGCCTTGATTCCTCCCTGACTGTCACTAGAGCGCTGCGCCGTCCGAGCCTTTGAGCTTTACCTCGAGGATCAACGAACTCGAAGTGCAAAATGCGTACATGTCTCAACAACTGCAGCTGCTCAAACTCCAGCTGGAGGCCGAGGTCAAGCTGCGGCTCAGTCTGGACGATAAGCTGAAACTGTCTTACGAGAGGAGCGACGACCTACAGAACGATTTGAAGGCTGCAGCCCGCGGAGAGGGCTATTTTAGGGACATGGCCGTGAAGTACTCCCAGGGGATCGCCCGGCTAGTACCAATTCTGAACGAGCTTCAAGAGAACCCAGGCATAACGGGTGACGGGTTTCTATGAATAGTAGGAAGGTTTGGTACGCTACTAGTATTGTATTTAAACAAGTTTCTAGTCTCCTCTTGATCTCAAGCTTGATACTTTGATCCATCGACGGTGTTCCGCAAGCCATACCAAGTGACCCAGCATGAGACGACTCGCATCCATTTTCTTGCTGACAGTCAGCGCGGTCCTTCTCCTAGTTGGACTCGCCAGCAAGCAGATGCGTACCAAAGGCATCGTCACCGTTCGACTCGACGTGCCGAGCCTTCTTGATCTCCGACAGACCTTGGGCCTCCCTGATCTCCCCAAATTCTCCAATGTCCCCGACCTTCCCAGTGTCCCTGATAGGGTGGAGAGCGTCGCTACTGCCATTGCCACCCGGGTGTCCGATGCTGTGAGCCAAGCAACTGGCTCTCTGGGCTCCATAGTCGATGGCATTCCTGATGAGATTACCGTTGGAACAGAGCAAGTCTGTTACGGACAGGGTAGCGCAACAGAAAACTGTCGAAAGATTCCTTCTGAGATCTCGGAGTGGTTCCCGAGGCCCCTCGACATCATCTTAGACATCACCCCTGTGGGAGGTACTCTCTCCACGGTCCTCAAAGTCAAGCTTTACGCATGTCTCATCGCAACTTTTGTGGACGTTCTCGTTCTCGTTCTGACACTCGGAGGCCTCCTACTTGTTGATGTCGGCATTCTCGGCATCTTCTCCCGGATTCCAATACTAAGGACTCTGTTGGTGGTGGGGGCCAGTCTTTTTGCCTTGGTTCCCCTCGTCTTGGCGTCGATGGTGGCGTTCTCTGTGCCGATGCTGCTTCGCAAGGTTGACGCACTCGAGGTGGATAACGGTCCTTTCTTGGCATGTCTTGGGGCCGTTCTGGTCTTGGTCGTATCGGCTGTTGTTTGCTGTGTTTTCCGCCGTCGTTCGTAAGTGCCGGGCTGGACCCGGTCTGTTCTCCGCGATGAGCTCAAGGCTCCCCTGTGCATAGTCACGGCCGTAGTCAATAAGAGGACGCTTTTGGACGTTCCGTTTTTAGGTTCGATGCCTGGGGGCGCCTTTCTACAAAGCTGGGATCGTCCCGTTTCTCCAAGGACGGCAATTGCTTCACCCATTGCCACGCAGTCAGTGATAACCATGGACTCTTTAATTGACGAACTTCTTCTACGCCTAGAAGACATGGAAAATGCCGAAGACAAGGCAAAAATACACAAACTAGAAAAGGAGTCGTTGATCCTGCAACGAGAGATACATATCGCACACAAACGCCTCTCCGCCAGCATCGCGCTCCTCAAAGAAACCACGAAACTCCTTCATATCATGTTTGCCATTGCCCGAGCCCATGACGGGAGGAAGGTGCAGGCGGAAAGCGGCTGGGGGTCGTACTGGGGTATTGCTCGGGAGTGCGAGAAGGCAGTCGTCGAGATGGAGGCTATTGGCCCCCATCTCCGGTGAGTGACTTCCTAGGAAGTCACATCGTGGGAGTGGCCGTGGAGGATAGGGACTCTGCATCCCCGACGCCGGAGTCGGTTTTCTGTACCATGCCAACCAGATCCAATATCATGCGATTTTGCTCTCGGTAGTGCGCCTCCATGTCGTTCGACCAGGTAGTGAGCTTATCGACCATGCTGTTGGTTTTCTGAGCGGATGTGGCGAGATGCTCCAGGCGGAGAGAAAGGTATCCAACAGTCTCGCTGCTCTGTTGAAGCGAAGCGTCCAGATACTGCACTCTGGTGGCAAGAGATTGAGCTTGAGCGACGAGAAGCTGCAGTGGCGAGTGCATCTCCGTGTCGAAAGGTATGAGAGCCGAGTTCTGGAAGGCCGGCTCCCCTGATGAGGCTGCAAAGTTTCCTTCGTTGTCGGCTGGCAATTCCATGTCTCCACTCATACTGTAATTTCCAGGAGAGAAGAAGCTGGCGGTTTGGTCCTCCTCCGGCAGGAATATAGAGTCCATTGTCGGTGCGAACATGAGAGAATCAGCATCGGTGTTGTTGAGAACAGCCGCGAGATCCATGTGTGCAAGCTGGACGGTGGTGGGGTTCACTGGTGTCTCTTCTGGCTGGCTAGAGTTTGACATGATGAAATGTTGGTGAAGATGGGATTTGGTATGTTTGATGCCCAAAAATGTCTGCCAACCTCGTTGCACCCCAACGGGTAGTAGCAGTATTTAAGTTGCTCAAGACGAAGACATGAGTTCTGGGAAAAGCTACGGTTGCAAAGATAGATCAACCTAGTGTTTCAAGAGGAAGGCTCAGTATTCCACAGAGGCAGCAGCAAGGTTGGCCTGCCGCCTCAAGGTGTCGAAGCTCCCTGAAGATGGAGATGAAAGTTGTCATAGCCCCGGCGGTTAGGCTACGCGTCAAGGCGGCTACGGAGGTTCCGCGCTCGGATATCGCATGGCAGGCCGACTCGGGATCGCCGTGGTGACAGAAAGGGAGTCGTCGTTAACCACCAACGGGCATCCTTTCGGAAGACGTTTCCATCCGTTCTATTCGAAGAAACGAGAGGGCATCTTGACCAACATTGACAGATCATGTGAAGAGCCGACAATGTGGCGGGGTATGCTGTTGGTCACTGCCCCCAACTGCCACTACCGGCCGGAGTGGATCCTCGGGTGGCCCCCGCAATCGCTCAGGGGAAAGATAGTGCTCGGACCACCTCCTGTACCATTTCGGTCGCTAAGGTGATGTTGCTAAAAGCAGCCACACTCGATCTTCGATAACGAGGGGGGGTAGAACGGCCAATTTTGGCATGTCTCCTTTCGACCATGAGCAGAATTGTACGTTGCGCCTCGATATAAAGGGCTGCTCTCCGTGAGACAGAGACCACAACTCTTCGTCTCAAAACAACCTCCTCCTGCATACCCAGACAAGCCCAACTACCCACGACGAAACATACCATGGATACCCCACTAAAGGTTCGGCGCAAAAGACGGGGACTGAGCTTGTATAACAAGATCTTCGAGTATGGCGAGCTTTTCGACATGAACATCACCATCATCGCCCAAGAGAGAGCCAGCGGGGACTACGAGGTCTTCCAGCCGGTTCGGAACGATAACTGGCCTCCCGCCATGAGAGACATCGTAAGACAGCCATGATTGATCTGGAGGATATCAACTGACCAAGACAGCGTCCTGAGATTCTCCACACCGGCCGCCCGATCACACCCAAGTGTGGCAGGGGACGTCAATCCAAGCTAAGAAAGATAGAGAAACTGCTCCAACAGCGCAAGGTGCCAAAGCCGCCGAAAATCCAGAAGATTGAGCGTGGAGTGGAGGAAATCTCTCTGGATAGAGCCTGAGTCTCGGGTGAACTTTGATAGCCCAATTGAATACCTCCTTTTCGCCATTCGAACAGGGTCAAATCCAAGTGACGTGCATGATGGCTATGCAAACACATTGGGGATTGCTTATTGATCATCCTCGTTATTCCATTCGCCCGACAGTGGCGAACTTTCCCCTCTAGAGTTGGTGTGCACGCAACCCCTCCATGTTGGTTGACATTGATCCCAGATCGTATGATTCAAGGTGTTGCCGCTGCCGCACAGCCTCCTTGAGCGCCCCTGGAATGGCTCTAGTGCTTATCGGGCCTGAGAGCGCCGACCCAAACTGTCGGGTCGGCCCACTGTTTAGGTATCTTCGGATCGCCAGTGGCTAGTCATATCCAGCCTGAGTCCAGATGCTCACAGCTGGGACCAGCTGCCGTGGTATGCTCTGGTTAAGCACAGTCACTAGGCTTAACGTATGCCAAACCAACGTGTCAGGGTTAGTCAGCACGACCCCGGCTCGTGGGTTGCTGGGTGGCTGGACCGTGACCCCCAAAACCAAGTGTCACGAAACGCGTCTTCGTTCACAGGGATACATTTCTTCCTCCAGCGCGTCCGGACGTTATGGACGATTAACTGCGGTCAAAGATCATCAAGGATAATCCAATTGGGAATGGCCTTGATGCCTTCCGCGCTTCATTCGTTTCTGTCTGCGAAGGCGCGGACGCCTCGCGCGCTCCAGACGCCATAGACCGGCTCAGTCACGAAGGTAAGTCCGTCTGACGATTCTTTTTGCTGCTCTCCTGACTGGTATACAGAACTCCGGAATCTTGCGCTCCTCTTTCTTCCTTCTCTATAACGTCTTCTAGCTGCAGGCCTGCTCCATTCAAAAACAGGTCGCGGCACCCTCCGAGCCAACCTCCTGAAGCTTATTGCTGCTATCACCTCCGACGACTTCGACTTCGACCGCATCAAACCACTCCTGCGACTGACCGTCGCTGACGAACCCGATGGTGCCCTTTGGAAACAAGTCGACGACGCCGTAGTCGAATCCATACCGACCCCCCGCCCGACAACGTCTTCCTTCCAGCAAACCCCGTAGCTACGCAATACTAGCAGCTTTGCAAACTCATCCAAGCACCGTAAATACGTCGATGATATACTGAAAGAGGAACTTGGCCCTCTATATATTGGGCTCCCCAATTTTCACGACACATACTTTGGAGATGTAACCGACTTCGAGACGGCATCCAAGGCTTTCTTCGAACAGTGCCGCCAAGGTAGCGAACCGGATTTTGAAGCTGGTTGGGCGGGATGGCCCAAAGATGCAAACCAGGATGACGTCTTGAACTGGTTTGCGGGTTTCAACGAAAAGTTAGCGGCATTTACCGATCTCTCTTAATCCACTCCAACACGTCGATTTAGACCAAGACTATTGGCAAAGCCCAACAAACCGATTGACGGTTCTATAGGAACACGAAAGATGGATATTAGGTTTGTGCGCGGACGACATTCAAAGGAGTCGAGGTATCACTAGTCTCATATTCTCGTACCAGGAGAATTAAAGAGCAACCCGTCCGCCGATAAAGCCTCAGAAGCATAGCTAGACCTTGGCAGGTACGCGAGGGAGGTGCTCGCTGCGCAGGATAGCCGTCGCTTCGTCTTAGGTTTCACTATTTGCGGATCCTTCATAAGGGTATAGGAATTTGACCGGCTTAGGGGAATCGCATCCGACCAGTTCGATATCAACACAGATAGGCTTCAATTTATGTACACGATCTTAGGGTTTCTGTGGATAAGCGAGGAGGAGCTAGGGTTCGATCCGACAATCATAACGGAAAATACGGAACGGTTCATCGAAATTAACCGGCATAGTTCGATAGAGCGAATCATCATTAACGAGGTGATGCAACGTACGCGTTATATCGCCGGTCGAGCGACGACTTATTGGAAGGCTCACCTAAAAGGGCGTCCGGAGGTTCTACTTATCATCAAGGATTCATGGCAATACCCAGAACGTAATAAGGAAGGCGACATAGTACGCGAGGTAACTTCGAAAGGCGTCGTAAACGTAGCTCGATACTATTCCCACGAGACAGTTCAGATACGTAGGATGAACGACGATATTCGGAGCAATACTCGACGTAGACTAGATATTACTAGAGCTACGAATTACCGGCTAGATCGTTCGATACCGTCACCGAGCATGATCGCATCGGGGCCGTCGCGGAATAGCCGCAGCAACAACGCTACTGGCAAGAAGCGATCGTCCAGCCAAACTGGCGCGGCTCTGCCCCCAGCAAGCGATCATATTCGGCATCCCCAACCAAGGCCGACAAGAAGGCATTACCAAACCGGATATATCGGCGTGTTATTCTGTGTGACTATGGAAAGCCTATATATACGGCAAGCACCCGATCCGCTCTTCTCCTCGCACCAGAGGGCTGCATTAAAGGACATGAGTCCTTACGCAAGGCCGGCTTCCTCCACCGAGACGTCTCGGTCAACAATCTCATAATCAATGAGGACGCTATTAACCCATCTTAGACTTCATTCTTAATCGATCTTAATCTCGCTATCCGAGACTAACGAGAGGGCGTCTCAGGATTAAAGGGAAAAACCGGAACGAGGGCTTTCATAGCAATAGGCGCACTTCTAGACGAGCAGTATTCTTTCATGCATGATCTCGAGTCATTCTTCTGGGTCCTTTTCTGGATATGCGTCCACTATAATGGGCCAGACGTGAGTAAGGTCAATCCTGAGTTTGACTAATGGAATTACATTAGCATAGACTTGTTGGTAAAAGAGAAGAAGGGTCAAGTATCCCATAAAGGGGACTTTATCAGGTCTACCGGGCAGAATTTCACGCCACACTACCAACCATTGATACCTTAGGTTAATAGATTACGGAAAGTTGTATTTCCGAACGGTAGGAGGTGGGAAAGAGAGGATACGGGATTATATAGTCAGATAAGGAAAATCATTGCTGAAGCTCGGAAGGATCCAAAGGTGTTAGCGGAGGGGTCATGATGACAATGACATTGCCTAGAGCCTTCGACATGCAGCACATCGGCGTTACGTAGTCAAATTCCACTTCTTGTATGTGATGCTGACGGCGATCACTATGAGCTTAGATCCGAGGTGTCCTCCCTAACCTAATTATCGCCTTCCGCCCAAGTAACTACGATTCGCCCCCATCCTGCCAAATCGTAAATGAGGTAGATCATGACTAATGAGCCGATTTTTCTCCGCCTTTGTGTACATCCGAGAACGAACAAGGGGGTCTGGCCTGTGACTGGGTATATTATCCGAAGATCGACCGCCGAATGGCATACAAGGGTTCGACGCGGGGTTTACGATATGATCTCATGAACACTCCGGCCTACACCCGACACAGCATTTGGAGAAGGAAGATGGCACAACGATCATTTGAATGTCAGGATTGCTGTGAACGTTTTCAGACAGGTGACGAGCTTCTGAAACACGTACAGTCATATCAGGTGAGAGCCTCCATGGCGATCAAGGTGGCGTGCTCATGAATGAGGTGGCAGGCCCGCATCCGCCCACTACTTCCACTGTTCAACAAGGTGTTAAGCCTTCTGGCACATCGTGAGCCGGACTCTGGCAGAGAAACAGAATTCGATGATGACGATGATACTGAAGAAGACTATGGCAGACCGGTTTCCTTACGAGGATCACGCCTAAACTGTCCACATCCCGTTTGCGGGAGAAGATTCAACAGAAGGCAGGAACTACGTCGACATTATGGAATGCGTGAGACTGCTGCCACTTTATCCCTCATGCGTGCAATAACTGACTGTGAGAAGATTGCAAATGCAATGAAACATGCCCCTCCTGCTCTAACACGTACGTTGAAGCAAGCAGGTTCATGAGCCACAAATGTTGCAGAGAGAGCTCAATCAGTCCACAACTCAAAGGTCAGCGCGATAAACTTCGCAAACGGATTGAAGGAGAGTTGGATAAACTCCTGCAAGCTAATGGCACAATCCACGCAAACGTCAACCGGAAGCATGACAAAAGAAAGGCATCCCTAGCTAGAACCACTGCTGGGCAATATGCCACACTGGGAACAGGCGAGTCGCATGACCCCATTTCCAACGATTACTTGCCGCATTCTCCAGAATTCCTACTCTTACCTCAAACTCTGCCAACTCTGTCTCAGTGGCCTGAAGCGCCGGCTACCCACCACGAAGCGTCTCGATTCTACCAACCTTTGCTCTCTACTCTCTTTGAACAGGGTGCCGGTTCCGAACAAAGACTTGTCTCAGCTCCCCATATGGCGTGGCACCGTTTCGTGACGGAGAGCGTCTTTGACCCATCTTTCAGAGATGAATCTTGGGGCGCTTCATGCTACCCCGATCAAGCTGGATCCTTGGAGGGGGGTTGCCGACAACCATAGCCTTTGGCAAAGCCTTTGGTAACGGAAAACGCAAGTCGCGGATGCACTATTAAGCTGCTTTCGGGTCAGAAGGGTAAAGAAGAGAGGAGGCGTCCACGTACACTCCACCTTCGTCCCATTTTATTTTCTTGTCTTCCAAACACCGTTTTCTAAGATAGGCGTATGGAATTTGAAACAAGCCATTTGATGCTGGCACACCGATCAATTCTCCTGCGGGGGACCGATGAGAAAACTCTAGTTCTGTTTTTGGTTCCCACATGAACACCAAAATTCGACCATCTTGACCTTCTGCTGTCGTGAGGGCATAGAAAACGCCCGGGTCCGAGCCGAGGGGGAACGAAAAGGCTTCTCGATAGGGCGCAAGGATTCTGTATAGGCGCTACAGAGTATGAGCAACTATCTGCTGATGGCTTGGAGTACTCACTGGGTCTTTCGCCAGCACTGGAGTAAATGCGTCCAGGCCGGCGTCCGGGTCCTTGCGCAACTGGGCCGCTAGCCTTCCAATATCCGCATTTGCTTGATAGAAAATGCCGTTCTCTCGGAAAACGGCTATCGCGTCCTCGGGCGTGACTGCTGCAGACACCTGGGTTTCTTCGAAGATGTCGGAAACGGTTTGCGGAACCATGACTTGATCTGTGATGCCAGGGATATCGATAAAGTTGGCTTTGGCCTGATGACAATACAGTTTCATGCGGGGCAAAGCCCGCAACGACTCTCGTCGACATTGGGTCCACACTGATCCGAAGATTCCCCGAAAATAGACTTTCCTCTCCTTGGCAACAACATCCTGGGAATCTACGATTCAATGGTTACTAAGCAGCGGTATGATTCGTCCTACAGTGGCGAAGATACATGATCACATGGTCCTTCTCCAACAACTCTTATTGCAAAGCATTCTCCCTTGAGTCCGCACACCCAACGATGCCCAACGTCCCGGTACATAATGACTCACATGCGACGAGCTATTCCTGATAAATGATGCGAGTCTCCCTCCCTCACTTGATGTCGGTTGCAAGATTTCTAATTCCTCGAAGTTCGATCAAAGTCCGGTCTTGACACTAAGCGAAATGTCAGAAACGAGCTGCGGTTCCTGTAACGACGGCATCCAGCCCAACGGCGCAATCTGCCCGTTCTGCGGCAAGAAAGGAGGATGAGGGTTGATTGAGCTCTCACATCTCGTAAGCCTACGAAAGTCGTCGCGACGAATCCATGACTGATGTGTGTAGGCTCCCAAGGATCACATGTTGGCCAGCATGGGTGGGTGGTTAAGGGGGACAAATTAGTTGACTGGGATAGCAACATCTAAGCGATGACAGGAATAGGTAGAAGGCTGTGTCATACCAAGCCTGCATTCAGATTACTATTGTATTATTTGATCATCACCATTCTCCTGAGATGATTGATGAATTGCGCACTTATGTTTATCGTACACAGTGCACGCGCACTCGACAAGGGTGCACGCGCACTCGGCAAGGTGCACGCGCACTCGGCAAGGTGCACGCGCACTCGGCAAGGTGCACGCGCACTCGGCAAGGTGCACGCGCACTCGGCAAGGTGCACGCGCACTCGACAAGGTGCACGCGCACTCGACAAGGTGCACGCGCACTCGGCAAGGGTGCACGCGCACTCGACCCTGTTGTGCCTTGTTGATGTCCCTAGCGCATGCCTATGTACTCGCTTAAATGCATTTATTTATCCTTAGTTCAAGGAATGAGGTTTGTGACAGAGGGCATATTAATGTTGCCCCGAGATTGACATACAAAGAACCAGCGCTGGAATGAGCAACTTATGAACTGTTGTTGTCAGATACTCGATGCCTCATGTATCGTATTCGTCACTTCTGGCCGAGTCCTCATATTAAAAGGACCTCTTGATGGTTGTAACTTGGTTGATCCTTGTTTTGTACTGGTTCTGTCGAGTGACAATCTTGACCCCACTCCTTCACCGCCCTGCGGCAGAATGGTGAAATATTCAATAAACCCGATTTCAGACACCCTTCAAACAGATCCAAGCATCAATCCGACACGAAATTGAACGAAGTGGGTTGATTGTTGTTGTTATGGTACAAAAGGAGACTTTCCTGCAGTCACTCCCGGGCGACCATTGGCCACAGTTGCCAATAACCGTAGAACGGATTGAATACTACCGGGGCGGTAGCTATAGAATGAATGCATCAAATGAGGATTCTGCAGACCCACAAGTGTAAGTACCCCTGGGTCGCAGAAAGAACCATGCCTGATCGGCAACACACCCCCTCAGATGGGCATGAGAGCCTGTCTCTGACCATCTGGACAACTGAAGGTCAGGCAGTAACCTGTTGAAGGTTTGGGTTGTAAGTAAAGTCCCCTTGTGAACGGTTGAAGTTCTCTAGGTAAGTGCACTTGTGAAGCCAGTCACAAGTACGTCAGTCAAGGAGGCGGCCAAAGTCGAGCACGCTGTTCACTGATGGACCGCAGGCACGCACCTGCATATTCAGGAGCTGAACAAAGTTCTGGTGCTTCTGAGTCGTAAGGATCTTGGTAAGCCCGTCGCGTACCATTTTGTCGGTGCTCACCCAGTCCACGGAGACCTTCCCCTGTCTGACTGTCTGTCGGATCCAAAGACGATGGATATCAACGTGCTTAAGCTTCGTTGTGGCTTGAGGTCTTTCGCTGGTAAGCAACGACAGAGTTTGGCGGTTGCCACAGAACATTTGGATCGGAATCTCGCCACTAAAACGTAGCTGAAGCTCCTTGAGCAGGCGACGAGTGGCGATGTAATTCCTTGCCGCAACACTGAGAGCAACCAGCTCAGCTTCGGTGCTAGAGGTGACCACAGAGCGCTGCTTTGTAGCCTTCCAGTCAATTGGGCCTCCAAAGAGCATGGTGGTATATCCTTGGGAACTGAATCTGGTGATGGGATCATCGCCGAATGATGCGTCGCTAGCACAATACAGCGATGGGGAATAGTCTCCTGATCCTCCGTAGGACGGCGAGAGGGTCCTCGTGCGATAGAGGTAACGGAGACAGTGATCTGCCGCAAGATGATGAATTTCTGTCGGCCTGAGAAGAGACTCTGCAAGTCTCGAGGCAGCCTTGGCCACATCAGGTCGTGCTGTGGTTGCTGCGTAATTGATGGAACCAATCTTACGTTGGTATAGGTGAATGGACTCAGCAGAAGCTTCATAGTCCTTTGGACCCGGTGCCGGATCTGATGACAAAGGTGTCAAATGCCCTCTGGTGGATGGCTGGAGGTTGAGGTCCTTCATCTTTTCTGTGATGTAGTTCTCCAGAGACAGCCAGAGCTTGCGCTGGCTACGATCTCTAATCACTCTGATGCCTAAGAACCATCTGACCTCCCCAAGTTCTCGCATCTCGAACAGAGACTTGAGCTGGTTCTTCAGCTCCTCGGCCGCTTGGCGATCCTCTTTGCGGTTCATGAGAATGATGTCGTCCACGTAGAAGAACACGATCATGCCTTTGCCCATGAAAACACAGTTGTCTTCCTCGAGAGCCACAAGGCCGATCTTCCGCATGGCTTCGGACAACAGCTTGTGCCAGAGAAGTGGTGATCGGCGCAAACTGTACAAGGCTCTCTTCAGCTTGAAAATTGTGCGCCTCTGTGAAGCGTCTTTCTTCTGTTGCATGTCCTGCATGAGCCCCAGCCCTGAGGTGCCCAGACGTAGACTGTCTCGTCGAGGTGTGCATTTGGAAAGGCGTTGACGGCATCCAGCTGGTGCGTGTCTAGGTCAAACTCTGCACAGATGGCCATCAACGTCCTGAACGTCTTGGCTGCCAGTGTCGACGCATATGTTTCCATCTCATTCTTGGGTTGTTGGTCTCCTCGAACGCAGAGCCTGGCCTTGAACTTGGTCACGTAGCCGGTGGAGTCAACCTTGTATTTCCAGACCCATGTCAACCCGAGAACCTTGTGTACCTCCTGGTCGACCGATTCGAAGGGGACTTGCTCAATTGTGCCCATGTTCTCAATGGTGTTGATCTCCTGTACGCTTGCCTCCAACCACTGCTTCTTGTGGTCAGAACGAAGCATCTCCTTCCAAGATCTTGGCTCTGCAGGCATATCTGTTCGGAGAAGTGGTTTCTTGTTCGATGGAGTCTGGGTGTGAAAGAATGAGTATTCCATGGCCACGTGTGACGATGGAGGCATTTTCCTGCTGCCGCGGGCTCCTAGAGCCTGGTCTGTGGGGGTGCCGTCCTTGAACTGCGACGGCTTTCTGTCTCTGGCGCTCCTCCGAGTGCCTTGGATTTGTGTTGATGGTGACGGCTGTAGGGCTGGTCTGCGTGCAATCAGTGGCCGGGCCTCTACAGTCTCCGTCTCGTCTTCAGCTGAGCTTTGATCAGCTGGTGTATATCTCATGAGGTGTTGATTCGGGGCTCTGGGCTACTTCAATGGTGTCTTGAATAGCCTCGTCAGCCATTTAAATAGTGTCTAGCCCGGGGGTAGGGTCATCCGAAGCTCTTCAGCCCCTTGAACGATGT